GTTGAGAAGGGAAAGGGTGAACCAACATCTTTTGCATGCTTATATATTTTGCATATGACATGCTAATGTAACAAGGGCTTTATATAATTATTGCATTTAATCCTCACGAGGTAATGATAACAGCTATCTCTTACTGGGCATGTCTATTTGCTAAACCCTCTATTTATGTGGCCCAATTTAATTAATTTTCATATCTGCCCCATGAGGTAAGTCTTCTCTCTAGTTTTTACTCTAGAGGTGAGGAAACTGATGCTCAGAGGGCTAAAGACATTAGCCCAAGATCAAACAGTTAGTAAGTGATAGAGCCAATATTTAAAACCAGCTTCCACTGACACCAAATTCTATAATTTTTACATAAACACATCATGTTGCTTCTCTCTAGCTAAGACAAAGTTGCACACTCTTGCTTTTATGTTCCTTTAACAAATATGAATTTCCATATAATCAGACTCAACTATGAAAACAACTAGTTAAATAGAACATCTGCTCATCTCTGATCAAATGAACATACTGTCATATAAGCTTCATCAAGTTTTTGCTTAAGCCAGGGGACTGTGTAACTAGTCAAAAGTAACTAGCAGACTTCTGATCAACACGGCAGACTAGATGGTCCCCAGTGTCACCCTCTCCCACACTGAACCAATTTACAACTATTAAAAGACAATGACTGCCAAGATGGGGCCACTAGAACTCAGGGGAAGAGGAGGAGAAGCCACAATGAGAGAAAGAACCACTCTGACTGTTTTGAGCCCCAATCACTTCAAGTCTGTTCCTGGTGAGCACATGGAGCTCCTATAAAACCTAGAAGAACCGGAAGCCCCCAGGCTCCCAAGCCAGGGTGGGGCAGGGCCGAGGGCCTCAGCAACAGCCCTCAGCCACAGCCCCCCATATCCACATCCAGCCCAGCATCGATCACCAGGCCTCTGCCAGAAGTGCCCCAGGCTCCTGAGCTGGGGTACTAGGAGACAAGGGCCTCAGCCATGCCCACCCCCCGACCCCCACCCCAAAGTCCATATCCAGCCCAGCCATGACCAGAGCCATCTCTGAAAGCCCCCTGGGCTCCCCTGTTGGAATGAGAGGGGTACCAAAGGCCTCAACCATGCCCTCCTCCTCCTTCCACTGTATCCCCCTCTTCTTTCCCCTCTCCCCTTCCCTCCCAACTGCTCCACAACAACATCTTAGAATTTAAAATAATAATAAATAAGTAAATAAATAAATTTAAACAGTCAAAAAAAAAAAGTAATTAGCAGGCCTCTATGTCCTTTATACCGATTTCTACAGAGAAAGCAGTAGAATGCAGACTGTCCTCGCATTCTAAATACTACCTTATAAAATAAGTAGCCAAGATTATGAAAGTTGCATTGCTCACGCCCCATTAGAGGTTACAGAAAAACTGTAGGGATTTTTTTTTTTTTTTAGTATAAGATAGTAAGTGGCCTTTAACCATGTTTTAAACAAATATAAAAATCTGAAATGAGTTAATTTGTGAATAATATTTTTTT